AGTAGTAGTAGTAGTAATAGTAGCAATAGTAGTAGTGGCAGCAGCAGTAGCAATAGTAGCTGTGGTAGCAGCAGCAGTAGCAGTAGCAGTAGCAGTAGCAGTAGCAGTAGCAGTAGCAGTAGCAGTAGCAGCACCAGCAGCAGCAGCACCAGCAGCAGCAGCAGCAGCACCAGCAGCAGGAGGAGCAGCAGCAGGAGGAGGAGTAGTAGTAGTAGCAGCAGTAGTACTTGTAGTACTACTAGTAGTACTAGTAGTACTAGTAGTACTAGTAGTGCTAGTAGTGCTAGTAGTACTAGTACTGGTATCGCAACTTTAGCGACCAAATTCTTGGTAGCCTGTGATTTGGAATTTGTAGTTGGCCAGCTCTAGAATTTTCATTGAGTTTTCTACCATAATCAACAAAAGTAGCATGCAGTACCAGGGGTCGATTGATTTGTCAACGATCGCCTAAGCCGTGGACATGCCAGCTGCAGTGTTGCGCGAGGCACAGCGGCACAGCCCCGGAAGGACTGCAGCAACAGCAGTCCGAGGCAGCAAGTGGAGTTCAAGAATTCGCACATAGACCTAGAGGCTCTAGAAGTTTGACCAGAAGACCCCATATTCGCATGATTCGTAATGTACAGTCTTTTGCTGGCTGAGATGAGGCGATGGTTGCAGAGAGTTACAAGGTCGTCCAGCAACGAACCGAATTTCTAAAGGAAGAATCAGTCGACCAATAGCCATTGCAGATATAAGCCACCTGTCTTGGGACTTTGAGCCTGTATCACAGGTGCGTGCGCAGCTCGGCGCAGCCATCCAAGGCAGCATTGCCGCAATTGAGTTTTGAAACTTTTCCCATATTTTGGGGCTGAGAATTTGTTCACATGCTGATGCATACAGCCGCTGATAATCTGCAGTCTGAGACGTCTCGAGTGGTCCTAGGGCCGGGCGAGCGTGCGAGAAGAAGCAGAAGAAAGAAGAAGATCATTTTGCAGGTTTGTGCTTCCTGTAAGCTGTTTTGCTCCACTTGGAAAATCGGAAGACTGGGTGAGGAGGGTTGAGTAGGATTGTTTCCCAGGGTCGCCCCAATTTAAGGTGATCCGAACATACACCCCCCATTGAATTTGAGTCAACCACGACCTGCCCAGTCCAGTGACTGTCCAAGTAGTTCCACTGCTGGGAGGCCGACGGACTATGTACCACCTGGTCCAAGATGGTTCGCTTCCGTCGTCCCCCACCGCTGAAGCTGGGCCTTAGAGCGCAAAAAATGTCGCGAGAACCCTGCCTTGCACATGGTTTGGCCAATAAACGGATGAGAATTTCTGCATTTTGGAATGGGCCATCGGCATGACCGTCTGAGGCTTCTGAGTGATCAGGAGTGATCGCACAGTGGCTTGAGGGTTATGGCCTGTGACCGTTTCATGTTAGTCCTGCTGCGTCATGCATCCATCCAGCTTTGGTTTGTCGGGTTTCGAGCTGCAAAGCATCAAGTACGGCTAAGTCTACCAGCGGAATGATCGCTCTTTTGCTCGGTCAGCTGTGCACGGTCATGGTCTGCATTGGAAAGTGATCAGCATCAAAGCGCACAAGAAACAGCCGTTTCCCAGAGCAAGTCTATCACTGGACTGATGACTGGAGTGACTGTCGTCTAATTAGTAAAAGTTGGTTAGAAGCGAGCTGCGCTTGATCGACGGCTGGGGCCTCATTGACCCATACCGTGGGGTACCAGCGGCTTCACATGTTTCCAAGAAGAGGGTATCGTGCCTAATGTCCAAACTTGGATAGTGCAGCATGCCACAGGCGCGTGGACGCAGCAGGTGCAACTAAGCATGACCCCAGAACTTCAGGAAACTTCCCAGTTGTTGCTTGTGGCTCGGTCGTCTGGAGCGGATGGAGAACTCAGGATCCTAACCACCTCCTAGCAGAGATGGTTTATCAGGACAGAAGCTCACGGACGATCCGTGCGAACGTGCCTGCGAAACTGATAACCTGGGGCACTGAAAATCATGCTCCTTCTTCGTCACTCCACGCCCCTTGCAGACCGCATCGAGCCCCACTGCAACATTTCGGCTCAGTCTTGCCTGTGCTGCATCCAGGAACGGCACGTGAGTTTGGTTATCACGATACTCCATAGACGCCAGGCATGCATTAAGCGCTGCCTCCATTCCAATAATCCTCGAACCCGTGAGCTGAAACTTGCATGAGACCGTGAGGGAAAATCGTCGGAGTGTGAGAGCATCGACGCGACGTTTCTGGAGCCCTGTGTCAGTCCACAAGCAATCTAAACCGCTGTTCTGACATACCGCCCCCTTAGGATTGGCGCTTTTGGGGAGTTGTTCTGGGAACTGCACCCTGGGTATTGCATGCTACAGGTTTAACCCTAAGTGTGGTGCCGTGTGTGACAGTCGCAACCCCTCGCACCCGGTATCCCGAAAAATCCCCATGAGCATAGGCTGAACATTGTTTTTTTCAGCGGCAGTGGGGACTCGGGGCTTGACCCGTGGGGCCTGCTGCTTTGCTGTAGTCCGACGTGCAGTCGATTCGGCTTGCGATGCGCCCCCCCCAACATCCCTAATTAAGCCAGCCTTTGTCATCGCTATAAATCCCGAATCCATCCACCACAAAGCTCGCCCCAACTGTCTGGACTTTTTTGCACATACTCGTACAGGGCCTGCAAAAAAAGGTTGCCACCTTCTGTGAAGCTTTTGGCGTCGGATATGCTGTTCGCTGTAGGAAGCTGTAGTTGTCACCTGGTCTCTGGACCCTTTCCCTCGAGGTTTGAAGGTCAGACTTGTAGCGGATCCGAGAGACCTGCACAGCTTGCTCCGGCATGCGATGCGAGATTTGCAGACCCCACCAGACCTTAACCCTTCTGAGCGCGGGAGGTCCGTGGAAAGCAGAATCCGGTAGTCTTTGCAACCTGTTTTGGCCTGCCACAGTGAAAAGGTTAGCCTTCTCCCGGGCCAGGGAATTCAGCAATGAGCCAAGGACTCTTTGGGCCATCCCGCGATGGCTCGCATTCTTCTTGTTGCGATCTTGGGGCTCCTGAGACTTTCGGGCGCCGTGGACGTCAAGCATCAGGCTGTCGAGGCCTCCGATGCGCCGCTTGCCTGCAATGTACCTGCTAGAAGATCGAGTTGGGTGTCGCAGTCTCCCCTGAAAGATCCGTAGAGTCAGGAGCCTAGGAGCTGTACATTTTGTCATCCTTTGTGTTCGATGGCTCTGGATGCCATGAAGGGTGGCTAGGTAAATCACATGCCTAGCTTCGCTTCATCCGGTGCCGCATAGATTGCATTCCTGGATCCTGAAAGTGGCCAATTCGTGCTCTAGGTTTTGGTTCGTTTCCTGCAAACCGGCTGCCTGTATACGACTCCAAGCATTGCTGGATGATGCTTGTCAGGAGACATGCCAGTGAGAACCACGAAGAGATGGAGGTGCAGGCAGATGGATCTGCGAAGGCAGCCCTGGCAGATGGTGCGGTTTGACAAACGGTCGTCAAGGTTGGTTTCAGTGCTTATGCCGTCAAGATTTTCGTTTGTCCAGCACCCAACGAAACAGGGTGTTTTGACTTGGTTTTCCTTGCTGTGCAAAGCCCTCACCGTGGTCTTGGGGTGCGAGTCCTCGCAGTTTGAGCCCTCGTAGACCCAGCTAGCAGCTGAGGGAAAACTCCATCGACAAGCGGATAGTCTCAAAAAAGCCGCCGCGCGCCTGGCAGGCGATGATGCGGCGAGAGAAGGGCTCTGAGAAGGAGGTCGGGGACCGATAGGGGAGATGAGGAGCTACAGAGGCTAAGCCGTAAAGTTAGAGTGAGTGCCAAAACCTGAAGCTGACACGGAGGGAGGCACCCTTTGGGAACGCAGCACAGGCCGGCGACCCAACACAGACGACTACCGTCTTCGAGGAGGGCGTCGGAACAGATACGACATCAGGACGCCAGCACGGAAGCCCCTGAAAATGTCTGGAACTTCAGTGTTCAGGCTGAGGGACCAGGGAGGCGAAGACTCGGTGGCATGAGTGACGTGCCGTACCCACTTACCTGTCGCATGACAGCACAGCACTTGCCCGAAACCGCGCCCAACAAGACTCCGCCCAAAGCAGCGAACATCCCTGGACCCGTAAGCTCGAGCATTCGGGCGTCTCGGGGACTCGTGCTGCTCCGGGTTGCCAGGATCAAGCAGCGGTGACGAAGAAGAAGAAGGTGGAACGGATTTAGATCATAATTCTGAGGCCCTGATCCTTAAGATGAATGGCCGAGCCCATGTGTTCCCGAGAGATTTGCGGAGCTGGGGCCATCCAGCTATGCCATAACTACCTGGTGTGTCGCTACCCCACGCATAGTAGACTAAGCCACCTAGATCTTGTTAGGAACACCTTCTGATAAAGTAAAAGAATTGCAAAGGCGAGAACGAGGAGTCGCTGCTGCGCACGGACAAAGAGCTTCAGCGGACGAAGTCTGTTGGGCCCCCGGCACTCCCCCGAAGACCCGTCCTAGGGCCGAGACAAAATGTAGTCTTGAAGCTTGGAAGGGCTAGGACGATCTAGGGGCCTGAAGGGTTATAGCAGGGTTCTGAGGTGTGGAGCTTAATATGGAAGATATACTATCCAGGCATTAAGCGGGAAAGTAAAGGGCACTGCCTGATTAGCTGTTTGGAGCGGATCAGCATTTCTGGTACTCTAAGCTAATGTGAGGTAGAATAATACAATGACACAGCATGTTATGGTATAGCAGAATACAGTGTGTGGGATTAAACATTGAGGGGCGTGTGTGATTAAACGTTGAAACTACTTCGTTGCGCTTGGTCGTCTTCAGGTACCTGGCTACCTTGAACCTGAAGCAACCCTACCATCTTACCATTAGGGTGGCCGGTGGCCGTGCGTCTAAGTCAAAGGGAATTTCAGGGGTTGGTTTCGAGCGTTTTCGAGTTTTGGGTAAGGTTCAATTTCAGGGTTTAGGATTTGGCTAAATCGCCAACCGTAAACAGTTGTTGTTTGTGGTTCGTTTTTGTGGCCAACCACCTTTCTTCTGTCCAGCTATCCCCAGGACCCAGACGAAAGCGAAGGCTCCGACGAGGAGGAGTGCTCATTCAAAGCTTGGCAGCGCGAGAGTGCAGCCTAGGTGCTGCTATGTTTTCAGGGCGGCATTAAAACAGCATGTGCTCAATAGTCGCCAGTTTATAGTATGTGAGGGTATTGAATGCAGGCGAACATTCTATAGGCAGCGGAGAGCACCCTACGCCAAATAAGCAGGTCTCAAGGGTACCTGAAGACTCCGCTATCACTTCCACGGAGACGTTATGAACCCACCCATTTTAGACAGAAAATCTGCAAAAGTCGAGCAAGAAGCAACACTTCTGGTTGGTGTTGGAGCCTTACAAGTAACTTACAAGACCCACCTCAATAGCCCACAAGGCAGCAAGACAGCTGGATGGCTCTTCCGTGCAAGGTACAGCCTCGCATCCGCCTCTGATTGCTAAACCCTCAACCCTAATCTCAGGTGCCTGGAGCCTGGTATGCTCACAGTGAAGTGATGATACAAAGTACCGTCGTGAAAGCTTCTTCAAGCTTTCAACTTTGTGTCCCATATCAACCTCGCCTCTGAGCTTTGATCTCTGCAATGCGAGAGGGAAGAAAAACATCAGGAGTCGGACGAGGAGACTACCACAACCGAGCAGTCTGACGATTCAGATGATGGAGACGGGCTTCCTGAGGACATCTCTTGAAGATCAGCACTTGAGGTTGGGATCGTTTGAGCCGAGCTGAATTTCCGGAAATCAGCTCAGGCTAGGATCAGAAGGGACTTTTCCTTTTACATGGAACCCCAGACACACCAATCAACACCGTGCTGGCCTTCCTAAGCAAGTGAGACCGAGAAGGGGACATCTAGCTTCGGCTCCTATGGATGAGGGTGCCTCATGTTGTAGATTCTGTTAGTTTCGAAGATTCAGGGCTTTCTGAACCAGGTTCCCACCTGACACTTTCGGTTCGTATCTAGGAATCTAGGCCCTAGGCCGCAAGCCGAGCCGCGTCCCGATAGCCGGAGCCCACTCTGAGAGACCCTATAAATCAGGGACGGGGGACACCATTACCAATTGCCAATTGCTAATTTTATTCCGTCCGAGGGTGAGGACCTGGCGTCTACAGGGAGTTCGAAGAGCACTCGCTCTGATGAGACCAAGGACTTGCCAGATTCAGACGGTGCTTTCTTGACATTTAGGTGTCTTAGCCCGCGCTCGCTCCTCATCTCAGAAGGACAAGGCCGAGAAGACCAAAGGCGAGGAGGACACCGAGGAGAGCGATTCCGATGAGGAGAGCCAGGGCGCCGAAGAAGATGCTTCGGACAGCATGAGCTCAGTGGAGATGGAAGGCCACTTGGCGGTTAATGGAGGCTTCAGCTTGCTTGAAGGCTTAGACTTCTGCAACAGCTCAAACCTCCAGCCCTTAGCCGAGGCAGGATAGCCGGTACATCTGATATAGAACGGAGTCGCTGTTGCCTGAGGGGAGGGGTTCTGTTGTCATTAGGGAAGCGGAAAAGACAGGCCGGGCCATGGATAATTGCGACGTACTGGCCTGACGTCTTTTCTACTGACAGCGACTCGGAGAATGTAAGAAGTGCCGAAACCCTTAGGGCCCTCCAAAAACCCTGAGAGGCCTTGAAGCCCTTGCAGCGGTCGATGTCCTTGCAGGCTTCTCCACCAATGCGGGCCCGCACCACAAGGCGAAAGCCGCTCGAAGCGCAGGCAGCCGGCCACTCTTTCTCACTTGATTTCTGACTGCCTCAGATGGGCTGGCATCATTTGTTGCTGCCTGACCCTGTACTTGTCGAGCAGCCGTAGTACTAGAACCACAAACAGAACTAGTACTAGTACATCTCGTAGAGGCACGCGGATCACCACTTGCTTGCGCCGTTGGCCTGTAGAGCTTCCTTATTGCAGGGTGGCCCTTATGATGAGGATGCTGTGTTTCATTAAATTTAGCGCATGTCCCCTGACTTTTGCATATGTAGGTGCGAACCCAACAAGACTGTTGAGAAAAGGGCTGCATATTTCTGACATTTCCACATGATGGATCCCGGCTGCCACTTGAGTCACTAGAGTTCCGACGGTAAGAACATGGAGTGGTATCAGGTACGGGCTTGGCGGCAAGGGGATCGTCAAATCAACGGCATGGTGTCAAGACGTAGGCATCGTTGCAAAGTTTTTCGGAGGCAGAGTAGCCGTTGCAATTAATGACGAGCAGAACAGCATGTGCTGGACCGCGTCTGAACAAACTGCGGCAACAGGACACCCAGCATTACCCAGCCAGCTTCGTTGCTCCACGCCTGCTGCCGCAGTTGATTAATCCGCAATTGCAGGCCATCCCACGGACAGGCACAGTGCACCTCACAGCAAAGTGGAGAGCAGGCGCGACCCGGTTTTGTCGGGGAAAGGTGAGCGATCAAAATTGAGACTCGGTCTTCCGGTGAATCTTGCCTGGTGCTTTCTCTACTGCTGTTGTCCTACATGTGTCCTGCCATGATGAGCGGTTAGCATCATGTTTTCCGAGCTGAGGGCCCTGCGTTGCATGGTAGGTCTAGTCCATCTACACGATTTGGCGTCATCCACTTTGTGGACCTTAAGGTTTTTTTTTCTAGATCCTGCGCATCATACGGACATACGGAATCGAGTCATGAGCTGTCAAACGCCGCACAGGAGACCGAGAGAGTCTTCTGCCCAACGCGTGTGCCGTAGTTTATCATACTATACATTACATTACATTTGCAGCACATTACATCATAGTATATGATTACGCTATATGATATTATGTTATCTTGTATTGTAGTAAATCATGTTGTGGTACAGTACATTTCATTAAGTTACATTCTTACATTATACCGTATTGTATTCTACTATGACATGTTGCATTATTACATAATTATACTAGATTGTATTAGACTGCGATATATTACTTACATTACATTAAAACATGTTATGTTGTATTATTTTCTTCTATACTATATTTATTCAAACGCCCGTATATACCTGCATATACATGTGTATATATATATATAAATATGTATGTATATATATATATATATGCGCATGCACAAATCAAACTAAACTTTGGAGCCCTCCTTCACTGGTCGTCTAGGGAATCGGGAGCAGCTAGGCAGCAAGACCTTGGTACCCGGTCAGAAGATCCCTGCAAGTGAAGGCATCGGGAAGCGCCAGTGAAGGCCACAGCAAAGCATGCAAGTGGCAAGCACAGCGGCTCGCTTCAACTGGGAATTTTGGAAATCCAGGGTTAACTTTACGCAGGGGAGCTGCAACTTCGGGTATAGAGCTGCAGGCACTGTTTCTTCAGTGCACGGAGGATCTTCCAGTCTCAACGGCTAGGTCAAGCACAGGTCGCCACCTTCAAAAAACTCCGGGATCTTTCTGCTGGTTGCAAGAAGACCAGAACCCTATGATTGGGCCTTCGCAGATCGCCGTTGTTAGAGCCCATGCCAAGGTAGGTTCATGATTCAGAAGGAGCAATGCCAAAAGTGGGGCACGGCCATTGCCAAGGTGCCGATAAGCAGCCGGAGAAGCACAAAGTCGAAGCCCAGACTAAGGCCGCTGTTCCGTTTCAGAATGTATCAGGTGCCCCTTTGTATGGGCCTCATCATCGGGATCCTATCTATTGGGATCCTCAATTTCTAAAGCGCTTTGTGGACGAGCATTACTGTCGTTCAACCTTGCTCAGTTCTACCATTGCATCATACCCTTGCGTATTGTCGCTTCGGTGATTATAGTGTTCGTATTCACTGAGATTCATAGTTCTGCACTTACTCCACATGATGCAGCTTTGTGTAGAACAAGCGTCGAACTTGCAATTCGGCGGCAGGAACGAAGGCCGCATACAATCCATTTGCCTCCAAACCCACAAGCCTAAACCGCTAAGATGTGGATCCTTGCTTGAGTCGAAGCCGCTAAGATTAATTATATGGGCCCTTGCCAGCCTTGTGCGAGTGTGAGAGTCGAAACCACTAAGCCAGCCTTGTCCGAGTGTGAGTGTCAAAAAGCCCGTGCCCTAAACTGCTTTGCGCGAGAGTGAGGGTCGAAACCCCTGAAAAAAAAACCCTGAACACTTAAGCCATGTGCCCAGAGAAGGCCGAAATCAAGTCGCATGCGACGCACAAGATGCAACGGAAGCAACTGGGACTGTGCACGGGAATCACAAAGACTGAGTATGAGTGGGTTGTAGCTTTTTCGGGGACTGGTGTAGGGTGGTGTAGGGTATAGGGGGTTGCCAAACCGTGTGAGGTAGACTAGGTACATAAGATAGAACCGGGGATTTACAGTTGAGGTGTTGGTTGATTAACTTTCACTGTGTGGACCAACAGGTGCTTCTCGTACCGCTGGACTGTAAGGACACACATGAGCAGCATCAGAAAGTAAAAACGCAGTATAGGCCGTGGCAACAGTTTCTTCGTCAAATAGATTACATGCCTACTGCTCAAGCCTCGGCTGTCAGGAGCGCAGATACCGTGCATAGTTTGTCTTCTTTGCGAGGATGCTGCCCCTGTGCTATCGGCGAACCTTCATTGATGTCGACAGCGAACCGTCGGTGAAGCTTTCGCGCCCTAGAAGCGTCCCGGCTGGCCGCCGTACCGAGGTGCATGAAGATGCCCAGGTGAAGAAGGATTTGGCCAGCATCTACCAGCGCATAGAGGAGTGGCGATCAGGGAGCTCTTCCATCACCGATCCGGTGCCAGAGGCTCAGGCCAAAGAGCCCATGGTGCAAGCGACGAGTGCTGGAGGACCTTCGGATGAGACACTCGCACCAGAAGAGCCAATGATGCCGGCCATGATGGAAGGTCTTCCAGCTCTCAACCCTGGAAGCTATGGGCATCCCGAGGTATGCCGCAAGCCTTGTGTCTTCTTCCAAGTCGGAAACTGCGAAAACGGGGACCGTTGCGGTTATTGCCATGTCCGCCACCAGACGCGACCGGTGCTGCCAGATATGAAGCAGCGGAGCTCACTACGCAAGCTTAATCAATCGGAGTTGCTGCACACCTTCCTGCCGATACTGTGGTTTGAGGCTCGGCGGGTTCACATTGCTCACGAAGCGGCACCGGTTCTCAAGATTCTGGAGGACACCCGGAGCACTCTGGGGGAGCCTCGTGCAGCCAAGCTCGTTGGCAACGAGGCGGAGTATCTCCAGTCCTTGTTGTTCCGTATGTCATTCGGCAGCTTGATGGCAATGTTGCTTCACAACCTGCAGCCCAGTGCAACCGTGGATGCCGCCCGCAACGAGATGGAGGCGATGCGGCAAACGTTACAATTCAATGCATAAGCCCAGTGGCGTGCGCGCACAACCCCCACCAGATGCGTATGTCGCATCTTTCAGGTTGTAAGACCGAGGGAATTGGGGGACGGAGCGGCTTCGGAAGACGATTTTACCAAAGCCAGGTTCGATTTGATGGAGAGCTTTCGCTGCAGTGGGTTGTTTCACAAAGGCATAGATTCGCCAAAGTCGCCGCGCTCCCTTTACCCCACAAGGTCGGAAAATGCGAGGAACCATCACACATGCAACGTTTGAAGGCGCACAGGATTTCCAGAAGCCCTACGACCTAGAGCCGTGACACAACCGAGCATTAAGCGGGCCCCTGGGATTTCCGGTTACGAATGGTAAAGATGAAGGCTAAGAACCAGGCAAAGTCTGCTGCGCCATGCCTGTTCCAGCGGCTGGCGTCCCAGGAAGCCATAAAGGTGTCCTCCTTGCCATCCACATGGTTGAGCCAGTGGTGGCCAACAACGGTGGTTTGTGATCATAATATGGTTTCGGAGTTGAAAGTATGCCTTGAGCAGACCAATGTGGATGCAAGGGCGCTGCGTCGCCCTCCATCGTACAAGAACTGTCCCCTGGGCGACACAAGAGGTCTTGTTCACCTGGGGTCTGCTCGCTCCTGACATTCCTCGGCAGCATCGCGGTTCAAATCATGCGAGCTTGCCACGCTTCAATGCGTCAACCAGGGGTTTTGCATTCTTAACGCTTTGCGCTGTTTTTGCATAAGCTGAACGCTTTCGCCTCAGTGATGTCTATGGTGTAGCGATGTTGAAGCCGCAGACCTGTTTTGGTTGACTATGCGACAGAACCGTCACGTGAATAAACTTTGAATAGACGAAGTACCACTTCAGCAGGAAGTCCCATCCTTGCTGCGTTGGGGCTCGGCTGGCCGACTCGGCGTTCTCGTGGGTTTGGGATCCCACGGGCATGTCGTCATCTATGTTCCCACCGGCTGGGCAGCAGCATTTCGTACGGGCTTGAGAGCAGAGTTTTACAAGTTTTGGATTGGATGCCGTCCGGGAACAGTCTGGCCTGCATAGAAGCTCATACAGTACCGGCTTGGATGCGGTTTGATCGTCTTTTCCGCCTCTGAGCCAGGAGCCAGAGCCTTGCCTTTTTCTGCGTCCAGTCGAACCATACCATAGCAGTGTTTTATGCCACTTAAGCATTTAAGGATGCAGGGGCCTCGTCCGGAGATATAGGGGACCGAATATCTTTGCCCGTGGTGGCGAGCTTGCTTGAGATCTCTGCAAGATTGCGCGGAAACAGGTTCAAATTTTCAAAGTCATGTATGAGGGCACATGCTACCGGAAGACTACACTTCCTGGGCCTTTTTCCGTGCCCCACCGCGGAGGCTTGGGGCCGAGTGATGTGCCAAACTGATCAATCGCACTACGAGTTACGAGCTCCAAGCTTCCTTTCAATTGATTCCAAAAAGGAATGGCAGTGCACCGTATGCATGTGTCCGGACTCGGGGAGCCTTAGGGGTTGAGCTTCATTTTAGCCCGCGAACACATGCTTCGAAAGAGTCTCCTTGTTGACCTGTGAAGGTGAGGTGGACAAGCAGACGGGCCCTTAGATACAACCATAGCTTGGGATACAGCACTGAAAATGTGGAAGCTGGTTGCGCTAGATCTTGCCAATGTTGCACGAGATGATAAGACATCCTCAGCTCTACAGACCCCTACAGTAGTGAAGCTTCTTCGACCTAGCCTCAAAGACTCAAAATCACAGAAAGCCCTGAGCGCCGAACGAAACCTAGATCGGTGGTAAACTTTCCAGCGAGCTCTAACTCTTACTGCATCCTCGGGCGTGATGCCCGTGTCGATTATCGGAAACCCTCTGCTATCCTGTTTGGGGTTTAGCAACGCGAATAGCAACAAGAATGTATGAAAGCAGGCCGAAGCTGTATATACAAAAGTGTAGGTGTCAAGTAAAAAAAGTACTTGAAGCGCTTATTTCGATTTGCATTGTATGTACCTCGGCGGCAGTAACAGTAGGGGTTTAAGACAAGGACCATTAGTGTGCGGACGCGTGGGGCTCCAGAGCCCAGGCCGTGACTCACGGAGGGTGGTATGTGATTCTTATGTACGCATGCATGTATATACACCCACACATAATTTGATATACTGTTTGTGTTTCTACAGTGCGCGGAGACACACACACACACAGACAGACAGAGCGAGCATGCAGCACCGAAGTATTGCGGTTTGGCCAGAATCCAAAACCCTTTACTTTAAACCGAAGTTGAAGACTTGGACGGCATCTTTGCGAGTGCCGACACTGATCCATGGGCCAAGGAAAGATTCGGCCAGCCTCCAGGAAGCCGACACCACGCAGACGACAACATACTACTTCACTCTGGTTGCCAGCAACAAGTACTGTGCCCCTCGTTTTTGAAAACAGATCCGAAGTTCCGGACTGTGAGATGCAGGTTTAACTCTCAGCTTAATCGGGTGGATTCGGGTGGCCTCTAATGCTGCGGTGGCATGCCTCAAGTCATTCGTTGAAATGAGCGGAGAGGGCTGCCGCTGTCACGATAGCCATTGCGACTCATTAGCTAATCAGGTGCTGCTTGGGATTGTGATGTGTGCCCGGTTCCCTTTTCGGATTTCGATGAAAGTTCTTGCTCATCAAGAATCTGCAAGCGTCATTCTGAGCTAGCCGCTAGCCCGTATTCAGAACTTCATCGCCGCAAGGTGGCTTCCCTCAGCACCAGATGAAAAATCCATCTTTCAATGTAGTAGCCTCCCTAGGCGAATGCCAACTCTGGCTACAAGACGAACGTGGGCAACTACCAGACAAAGGCATGCTTTGAGCTGCGTGGCGACAAAGTGGCTGGCATCCAGGGTTTTGGGTCTTTCTTGCAAACGGGGACCAGCGGCCGCACGCTTGTGGCATACTGTTCGGACTTGGAGCATTTCCATACGCGAGTTTCAGCAAATTAGGGACTCAATGTAACCTCTGGTTTCTGAAACCGGCAACTACATGGATTCAGCTCTCGCACCATCGACACATATCCACCGTGCATGCTGCTCTCGCACCACTCCTGGTCGACCTCTTCCGAGCGCCATGAGTCTCAGCCCGACACTCTGCAACCACCTGGCACCAAATTGGTTCAACACTGTGAAAGGGTTGATGAGTCCCGGACTTCAGGTATGTTCTCAACGAAGCTTCTTGCGGCAAGTTCTTCGACTTCGGGGTCGTCGACGGAGCATGCGATTGCGTGCCAAAGGTAGAAACCAACTGCAACCAGGCAGATGCCGACAACTACCATGTGCAACTGGGCAAGCAAGATGCTGTGCTTAGACTCTGCTTGATCCTTGTAAGTATCCAGAGCCCATTGCTGCCAGTCCAAGAAATTCATACCCGCATTGATCCGCATTGTCGGATTCACCTGCGGGGATCTCTACGGATGTATTCTAGCATATTCATATGCAGATAGGTACATACTTACATACGTGCAGAGACCCGCAGAGAGGGAGAGAGAGAGAGCGAGAGACGCGGACTAGTACAGCCGAGCCCATCCGGCGAAAACCCTGGATGGGGATGCGCCCTGGAGCGCGGGGGGGTGGGACTGCCACCTCTTACCCCTAGCCCTTCCCGCCAAATAGGGTGGAAGGGGAAGCACCTCGCGCGCGCGCGCGCGCGCGGGGGGCGTCAGTTGCTTGGGGGGAGGCGCGCCCGAGCGTGCTTTTGCTCTGCAGCAAGCAAGAGAGGGGGTTGACTGCAAAGGGGTCCCAACCTGCTCCGCCTCCAATGGGGCACAGAACAGTTCACCCAGCCTGGTCCGTGAACGCGCAATACAGCCGAGCCCTCCCGCCAACAGGGTGGATGCGGAAGCGCCGTGTGCGCTGTGCGTCAGCCTAGCAACGCAAAGCAAAGGGTTCCTTCGGGGGCCCATACCCCAAGCAAGCAAGCAAGCAAGCAAGCAAGCGAGCAAGAGACAGATGACGTAGCCGACGTAGCCATCTTGATTCAAGATCGACTTGGCGCATGCAGACTTATCTGTTTTGTTTGTTGTCGTGCTGCGCTTCCTGCTGTTCTTGTCTTGCTTTATTGCATCCGTGGCTGCTCCTGGAAACGCTGCCCATCGACACTTTGTTTTTGAACATTGGCGCAGCCTTTGCCGAAGAGCTCCACTGCAGCTGGGAGTGGCTTGTGCCTGCACACGGGAGGGCATCGTTCAGAACGCAAGCTCGAGGCGGTCTCTTGGTTGGGGGCCGGGGCCGAGGGCGGACCCGCCACCGGGGCTGCGGGAAGTACGGCTAAGGAAAACAGCGTCAAAGTAGTGTGCCTTGAGCCATCATACAAGGCGAAGTTTCACCAGGGGACGGTCGAGACGCTATGAGACACTACATGCTTGAACAAATAGATACACACCCAGATGACGAAGTTCGCACAGTTTTGTTAATGCAGCTCCACTCCACGGGAAGGCGGGTGTGACGTGTGGTTTCTAGAATTCTTCCCGCGGCTGCTTTTTTGGATTACGGGTGAACTTCATCCCTGGATTGTGGGCTGTTTCTTCACGCTGCTCCAATGATCCTGACAGCGGGGGTGAGCCAACGGATCCTTGCGCCAGTCAGCCTGGCTCACCTCGAACGGAATTGATCGGCTGACGATGATGCAATCATGAAGAGCCATTTCCACAAATGCGTGGGCGTGGCTGAGAAGTTGTTCAACTCAACTGGCACATGTCCTTGGACAAACATGTTTTTGATTAGAGATCGTTTGTGGCGAGGAAACGCGGCAAAACGACCGGACTTTCAGGCCAAGTTCGACGACCATTACGGTTGGGACGACCATTACGGCGGTTGGGTTCTCGATTACCAGAAGACGGCACAAGTCATGAGGATTGAGGAGCTTGATAGGGCAAGGGTCGCTAGCACGAGGTTCCAGCCGAATCGCATCCCAAGACCCGTTCACCCCAGGTTGGTTCCCGCGGCCGAGGTTCTTAGCAATTATGGTGAAATCGGCTTGTTCATTGGTTGTTTTCGATCTCCCATGGCACGTTCCCTCAAGACCAACCAGCCTCAGTGGCAACAGCCTTGCTCAAGCGAAGTTTTGTAGTGGGGGCAACTGTCGCCGGGGCACCAAGGGGAATGCAAGCTGAACAAGTGGGGTGGGGGTCCGCGACTGGCTCTCAGGCCGTATAGAAAGACCGATACACAGAAGAGGGTGCGCTTTCCGGAGATGGGGAGACATGGGAACAAGTGCGAGAGAGGAAACACCTGCAGGGCTAGCGTTTTCGCTGGATTGGCGGGAAGGTTCCTAGTTTCACTCGTGCCCCTACAGGATTGGTTAGCAGATAGCGAACAGGCAAGATATAGATAGACAGATACAAGCAATTAGATGTTGTATTCTTCACCGACGCCGAGAAACCCACTATGCCTGTGGCGCATATAGACACTCAAGCAGAGGGCCAGTCGACGTTTTGTTTTGTGCATGCAGTTTCACTTCCCTTCTGCACACCCGCCCGCGCATGGTCTAGTCTCCCACAGTGTAGTCGAGTTTGCCATCCTGTGACTGTTGCAGTTATCGGACATTCAGTCAGTCACCCGTCACGAGGATGAGCCACTTATGCATGCATCCACTGAGAAGCGCCACAGTTTTTCCGGATCCCTGAAAAGCCCTCAGCAACAATCCTGCAGGTATTTGATTCAGAAAGGAGGCCCTGAAGCCCTGACTCCTGGCAGAATGGAGTTGAATGTTTCCCATTACTTCATGTATTGATCGCAGGCCCAAGTATGTGCAGGTTTCATCCTCTGGGGATAGCGAAGTCCTCGCAACCAAAGCAGGAAAGCATGCATACCTGCATCTTATCCAAGGACCGAGATGGATGATCAGGGCAAAGCAACTGAGGTGGAAGAGTAAGATCACGTAGTGGCTTAGCAGACCATGCATCAGTTTACGCTGTCGTTGAACTCAAGGAGGTCATTGGCGATCCTGCTGATCATGGTGATCCTTCCGATGACTGAGTGTGACTGGGAAGGCTGCGAGAGCTGCTCAGGCTCTCACATGAAAAGCTGTACATAGGACACCAGGCATGTGCCGATGCCCTTTCCCGCAGCCGCAGGGAGTCCAAAACGAGACAGTCCGTCGCTCTTCGCACGAGCACAGCCAGCACCATTTCCAGATCCGCTGTTCGCCTTGTTTGCCACAGGAGCAAGACCACTACTCCATCCTGGGCCTCAAAGCCAGAGCGAGTCAAACAGAAGCCGGGCGTCCCAGCTTCTGTATGGCATGACCGCTCCTATAGCGCGGGTCAGATGCACTGCACATACTCGCATGCAAGACAAGACAACTCTGTGCCGCACAGGTCAAGAAGGCATATCGAAGCCTGTGCAAGCGGTGCTCCTCTACTGCGCAGTGCTGTCATGTGTGCACGAAGGTTTTTTTTTAGGTCCTCTGGTCTTCAGGCAATTGCGCTTACAGCCGGGATGGGAGAAGCAGCATGGTTTTGCAACTGCGTCAGGTATCATCCGGATAAAGCCACTCACTTGGATGAGGCAACCAGGAGAGAGACCGGACCTCAGCCGGGCCGGGATAGGGATGGTTGCCAGAGGCCTAGAGACTTGCAGATTGCGTTGGGGGGACACGTCGCCCTCGTCGTCACAACAACTGAAGTTTCACATTCATTCATTCATTCATTCATACACACATACACACATACATACATACATACATGCATGCATGCATGCATGCATGCATGCATGCATACATATATGTGTGTGTGTATATGTATGTATATACATTTTTGAAGGTAGGTAGATAGAAATGGATAGATAGATTGATTGATTGATAGGTAGACAGGTAGTATAGGTAGGTAGATAGGTAGATAGGAGAGAGGTAGATAGATAGTGCAGTCCGCTGCTTCCCAGCTCTTGCTACACGACTAACATCCAGCTGCACCACTTTCAGACTTGCCTTCTGAATCTTGCTTGCCGCTTGTTCCTTGGAACGAATTCCAGGTCTTGACCACCCCTCCCTAAGCTAGCGTACTTGAGGGGGCGGGGGTGTTACATCGATGCTTGCTGGTTGGAAGCTATCGAGACATGAACTTGGAGGGGCCTGCCCAATTTTGCCCGCTGAAAATCTCAAAACGTGGTTTACTACTAGGGGCCTTTTCATGGCTGTCATGTTGGTTGCTCCCGCTCTCACTCTTGCTCTTGCTCCTGCTGCTGCATGAAAGATTGAGGCGGGAAGCGCAGATGGTGAAGCTCAATGTCGCATATCAGGCGGCGACGGGGTGGACCGAAAACCGTGTCGGAATAGTGCCAGTGGTTCAGCGGTTTCGGGTGGGTGTCATTTTCACAGGTTTGTCCAGATCCAAGTACATTCCTCCGCTGGAGCCGTTTTCTTTGAGGTGGACCGAATCGCCAAGTCAGGACAAGGTTTCCAATCTCGGACTTCTGAACTTTTCAGGACTGGGGTTTCAAGCATCATGGTAGCATATGATCGTCCTCGCCCACGCGCCTCGACCGTAAACTTGATATCTAGAGAAACTAGGCGCATAATTTGGACCTCAACATGCAATGCCTCGCCGGCCAGCCTCCTCTGTGATTCGCAACTAAGCTTTCCAGCAGAAGCAAATGCACTGAGCTGCCACACTTCGGCGGGATTCTTAACGCTATGTAGGGCCATATGAGATCCCGCCATTTTGGGCCTGTGTCAGCTATGCTCTTGGCAACTTCATCTACCGAAGGAGCACCCCTTTAACAGCCCCCCCAAAACCCCCCAAAACTGAGAGCCTTGAAGGCCTGGTGCGAGTGTGAGAATCGAGTCGGTTATGGAACCCTATAACGAAACTATACAAATGTTAAAGCGATCACTTAAAGACCATGGAATCTGTGCGATCCCCCAACCTACTGATAGGTGCTGAACTCTCCGAAGCAGCGCTTCGAATACGACCTTGCTCAGCCGATGCCTCATTAGGGGCCAGAACCATACTGTATTGGGTTCTTTGGTTTCTCTAGTATATTTGTGTCAAGGAACTCTGAAGAATAGTACTGGTTATTTTCAGGCCGCAATTTTACAAACAGTCTCCGGGTGTGTCACGAAGCTTTGCTGGGCTTTCACAGGGTTTTATGGGGTTGTAGAAGCCGTGGTCGTACGCTCGTACATTTCGAGAGGAGATGACGAGGGCTGCCGGGTTGCGATGCTTGAAGCAAGCTGCTGAAACTTGAACTATCTTGAGCTATCTCGACCAAAAACTCTGCATCAAGACGCGGATGTGCCCAGGCCTTGCTCAGAAGGGAATCGTGCACCAGATCTACACCCGGAAGGAGTAGAAAGTCGTCTTGAACGATCTTTTCGAAGTCGGGCCGCGGGTTTGCAATTTGTTCCAAAGGGCAGATTCATCGATCGTCTCCCTGTCCTGAACGAAGCTAGTTCTTGCGGGGTGATCAGCGCTCGGCACCCAGTCTAATTTTGCTTTGCAGAGTCCCCCCCCCCGATGCATGCAAGGTTGCGGTAACTTCCTACCTTCAGAGCCTGCCCTAGCACAAGTACGCTGCCACGTTGGCAGGAGAGGTACCCTTCACCGCTGGGTTCCGCGCCGCCACGCCCAATCAGAGGCAACCGTCCTCGCTGGATTCGCTTGTCGATTGATGGTGGGCCACGTGACGCAGAAGCCCAGGAGAGCGTGGTGCAAAGACTGTTGAATAATAGGTCAACGCATGCCTCCACAGAAGGACTGAGGGCTTCAAGCCTGTTCTTGAACAGGTCGTGGGGCATTTGTGTCATTTGAACTGACAGCCGGACTACCTCTTGAGCTAGGTGAGCTTGGCACGAAAAGGGTTTCATGGTGGCTCCTTGTCTTTGGCAGGTCTTCCATGGGCTCGGCGAACCCTGGCACCAGATTTCGCTATCCGCACCTCACCCAAAGATGCCATGCATGTACCAGGCTGTTCTAAACTGCAAGTACATCCGTTTTCAACACATTTTCGGGCACCTCACCTTCACAAGCTGCAGTGACAGTGAAAGCCTTGAGAGTTTTGAGCAAATGCCCCACGTCCCCGGATGCCATGCACACAGATGTCGTGACTCTTCGTTGGGGTGTGTAGATTGTATAGAAGTTCAGCATTTGGTGGCAGGGTTTGCACACCACCTCAGGTACTCTGCCAAGTACACGCAGCGAAGTCGTCAGGCTAGCATTGAAGGGTGCATCGGTTGGAGCTCCTGGCCGCTGCCCGAAGTTTCCTCTGCACGAAGCAGCAAGAACTTCTCGTAGAGTAGATCTTGAGCGTGGCTTTGGCGTTCGTCTTCTCCAGGATAGGAAGACCATTCGACTATACTACACCAGTACTCACGGCAAGCGTGACAAGATGTGCTGCACAGGCTCGCCGCATGGATCCATCCCAGTACACCACTCACGTGGATGGCCGAGCAGCCGAGTTCACGGGAAGGCGTGCGGGCGACGCAATACAAGAACAGAAGATCGCTGGGGACCGCCGGGGACAAGTACACCTTTCTCTGCTTGCGTGCATTCACATGTATGTAGCTATCCGTATGTGTATATATGTGTGCATGGATAGACTAGATGAGTAGATGAATAGAGACATTGCTTTTGGCCCCCCCAGAGCAGCAAAGTTAAAGAACCCGCATCTCCAGATGGCATTGGGCCATGAGCTCTCAGGTGGACGGATAATGACACAGGCCTTTTCGTGTAGAAGCCACTCATCAACTCACCAGGTCGCCAGCAGCGCATGAAGAAGAGGACAAGGTCAGGGATCTGAGGTGCAGGTGTGCAATTCTGGAGTTGGTTGGCGATGGCAATCTCTCGCAGTCTTTTCAGTGCTGGACGGTTTCCAGCTGCCAGGAACGGTTCTCTCCATCGCATGACCCAGATTATGAGAGGCTGCAGCCTTACTTTGGATGCTTGAAAGTACATGCCCATGATTCTCTGAACCCGGGTTTTCACCTCTTCTTGTTGGAGAATGCTGATTCCTCAAGCTCGTTTGTGAGTCGTGATCCCGTGAGGGCCATGCCGTGGGAACAGCGAGAGATGGACCTGGCACGAGAGTGGATGCAGGCCCCGCGATTGCCTTCTTCGGGTGGCCTACCGTATACATGAAGCAGTCCTGCTGTGTAGCTATGCAGTTGGGCGATAATTGTACAAGACTGCGTGAGCAAGAGACAACGAACCCCTACATTGCCGAGTCGATGCAGATTTCACGAGGAACAACAGGCTGAGGGCTTTCTTCATTCCATGTCATCCGGGTGGGAACTGCGGACTGGTTGAGCTGATCCGAAAGGTTTAAGAGAAGGTTGGGTGGGCGGATTCTGTGCTCGACAGGCTTTCTGTCCACCAGAGCCTCCTGAGGAGCTTGGCGCTGAGACAGGATGCTTAGACAGGATTTCGGGATAGTTCACTGGTTGCGTTTTTGCCCAGCAGGTTGCGACTTCTGCTAAGTGGCTCAGCATGGAACCAGTCAGATTTAAAGACTTACAGACGTTGCCTTTTCTGCTGCTTTGATTGATTCTGAGCATCAGCATTGTACGCCAGTCGCACCCACCACTTTCCGGAGGCAGTATCAGTGGACTCGAGCCTCTGACCAATTCCTTCGAAACTTGAAGGAAAAACGTCAGCAGCGGGACACTTAGCGTGAGAATCCTTCGCTGCTTCCGGCTTTCAGAAGCATAGGTCCCCGAGCCGACACCCGACACACACTGCCCTAGGCGATGCCGCGGTGACTCTGGAAATCAGGCCGCAAAGCCTTTGGGGGGTGTGATGGGGCGTTTTCAGCTCAGCGGCCGAGTCGAATTGTTGATGGATTCGGTGCTGAGGGAATTAAGCGGAGCTTGTTTTTGTAGTTTGGGGCCCGACGCACAGGGGCCGTTAAGTCCGCAGTTGACAACTAAAACGGTATGCCTCTTCCCAGTCAAGCGTCCAACAGAACTTAGCACAGCACCTGGGAATGTGAGCGTGTTCTCTGCTGGAGTCTACTTTCTGAAGTTTATCGTCGCAAGGACGGAAGGCAAAACTGTAGGGTCAGGACCAGTACTAGTACCTATACTGTAGCAGCTGATTACAAACGTTTGTTTGCATATTCTACACCCTCAAACTTTCAACCGGAGCATCAGATGCTGCAGGAGCCACCCTGGCAGCCAACGGCGGTGCATGCCTAGATTGGCCTAGATGCACGGCAGCACAGGAACGCGGAAAAAGAGCATGCCGGGCGCCCACCTGGAGCTTCGCACAGAGTTTGTGCATATGTTGGGATAAGAAATAGGTGACATGTTTTTGTTGCAGCCGCAGTAGTTGCTCAGTGTTACTCGCGGTGTGTCCTGCTAGCTGCTTGCCTCAGCTATGCTGAAAACCGCCCTCGTTGTCAGCCTGAAGGCTGTGTCCAAGATCGTGCTTATCTGTGCGGGCGGCGCCTACTTGGAGAAGAGTGGTGTCCTTCACAAGGAGATGCGAAAAGGCGTGTCGGAGGCTTTCGTCAAGCTGCTTTTGCCATGCTTGCTCTTCACCCGTATCTTGCCGACGATGTCTGTGGAGACATTGCCGAAGCTGGCATGGCTTGCCATGGCGAACCTTTTGTATGTGTCACTTGGGCTACTGATAGGATATTTGAGCACTCTGCTCACAAAGCCGCCACGAGGCTTGCGCAGAGTCTTGATGGCGACTCCTGCTATTGGGCACGCAAACTCCATCCCTTTCATGCTCGTCTCGTTGATCATCGCAGAGGATCCGGCCTTCAATCCAGACGATACCAACACAGCACAGGGATATGTTGGTCTGTATTTGGTTATGCACAGCATCACCCTGTGGGGTGTTGGAATGAACGTGATCAAGAAGGAGAAGGAAGATGAGCCTCCACTAGCTGAGACCACGGAAACCCAAACTCCACAAACTCTGGGTCGACCAGCCAGTATCTCGGCGCCTTCCCAGAGCACCGGTGGTCCAAACATGAGCGAGGCACGTGAAGATCGATGGTCTCATTCCATCTCCGGCTTGGAACTCGGCTCCCCTGTTACGAACGGCGGGCCCAACACGAAAAATCAGCGCTTCTCTTGTGATCCACGACCTCTGCAGAGGTGGGAAGACAAGAACTTTTAAGGGACCTTTACAGAGGATCTGTATTTAAATTACATATGGCCAGGGAGCCCCCAAGATGGTTCTCTGATTTCAGAAACCCGCTCAGGTTTGTCCCAAAGTGGGTCAATCGGCCCATGGCCACAGCAGTGCTCACTGCTCTCGTCGGGCTCATCCCGGGCTTGGAAGAACTGCTGGTGCCGGCTTCTGCCCCGTTGAAGCACAAACTGCACTTGGTACCTTCTTTCATTTCTGTCTTGTTGAAACGTCGGCTTAGCATTCAAGCTCGGCGAACACTATGACTGTAACCCTCCCATGCTCCCAATCCCAACGGAGGAACTTCCTGTTCGGAGCTATGAACACTTTGGGATCTGCAGGGCCTGCCGTTAGCTTGCTGGCAGTCGGGGCCAACTTCGTCGCAGACGGCTTTCCACGCCCATCGGTGATCGGCTACGCACCGATGTTTGCTTTGATTGTGGGCAGACTTTTGATTCTTCCGGGATGCTGTATTTCATTATGGGTCGCCCTCCGACATTATGCACCGTTCTTTCCATCTGATCCGCTCTTGATGCTGGTGATGTGTATCGAGTGCTGCACACCCACGGCGTACAACTTGGTGACCGTCTGCATATTGAATGGTGTCGGTGCCAGGGAGTTGACGGCAGGTTTGTTTTACCAAAACATCGTTGCTATTTTTGCGCTCACTGCGTGGACGACTGTCATTGTCTCTTTTGTCATCTAACTGCTACCATGGGTGAGAGTGTCGTCATCATCTGATGATCAGTGATTGTAAAGGCTCGGCACAGCGCTGGCATTCCCTGCCTACCAGGCCGCACATGTACAGAAACTCACAGATGAGTATGAGGCAGAGCTGCCAGCAAATGACCGTGTACAGCAGGCAACGAACCATCAGCTCCTATCTTTAGATTTTGGAACTGACTGACCGGACCCACATGTTTTGCCATTACGAAAACCCTTTCAGGCCTTTCAGCCCTGTCATGTCGTCAGAGCACATCGCTGAGACGCATCCCGTATTCCGATTGCAGATCCTGTGCAGTTTAAGCCTTGTTTCCTATTTCTGTTGAATTTGTTTTCTGGTTGATTGCAATATTACCTCCTGCCCAGAACCAGAAATACCTACCTATAGCAGTTTGAAAACCACAGTAGGGTGCAGGCTGCAAGCATCGAAGATTCGAAGCATGCTCCTTCGCAAGTTCACTGCTGAATGTTCGCGAACAGTCCTGAAGATCATCGCGTCGGTATCGCCTGCTTAGCTGTGATTGTGAGTATGACTGCGGACATTTAGCATTATCTGCATGCTCGAGCACAAGTGTCACAGGAACACGTTCACATGGCACTAGTTACAACATTGTACTTGTTGGCAAACCACCCACTTGTCGTTTCGTCTGGTCAATCGCGGAGTGGGTTTTGTTCGCATTGGTTAGAATGCAACTCAGCGTCATCGCCGTGACACGTACCCAGCAGCCACCTGAGACCTTCGCTGCCTTCGTTAAGCCTTAGTCGTGGACTGACATGTGAGTTTGGTCTAGCTTGCAGCGCCAAAAAAGGAGACCAGAGGCAGCCATGGCTGCCTCAGAGACCAGGGCTGGATATGGTACCAATCAGCCACCTGTCGTCGTGAAAAAGCCGGACACACACAAGCGCGAGTACAGTTTCTTAGAGTTGGACAACAAGCTGAGAGCCATCATCGGCTCTGATCCTGAGTGTGACAAGGCAGGAGCTGCTCTTGTTGTCAATGTGGGAATGTGCCACGAGAGGAAAGACTTACCAGGGCTCGCTCACTTTCTGGAGCACATGCTCTTCACAGGAACGTCGAAGTATCCCAAAGAGGGTGAGTACCATGAGTTCATGAACCAGAACGGGGGGATGGCCAATGCATACACAGCTTGTTACTTCACTTGCTACATGTTCGAAGTGAAGCCGGAGTGCTTGGAGGAGGCTTTGGACCGCTTCTCGCGCTTCTTCATCGAGCCACTCCTGACCCGAGACTGCACGGAGCGAGAGATCAACGCCGTCGACTCCGAGTTCCAGGCCGGCCAGACCTCGCCCTGGTGGCGCTACGTGGGTATCATGAACATGAGCGCGAACCCAGATCACCCCTTTCATGTGGCCGTGGGGAACAACAAGGTGCTCTTGGACGAGCCTAAGGAGCGTGGAATCGACCTCTACGAGGAGATGATGAAGCTCTATGAGTCAACCTACTCCGCCAATGGTATGACGGTCTGCGTCTTTGGCAGGGAGGCACCAGACGAGCTTCGAAAGATCGTGGCCGAAAAGTTCGGTGCTGTAGTCAACAAGGGGCTGACTATGCCCATCGGAGACTCCGTGAGTGACAAGCCACCGTTTCTGCCGAATGAGTGGCACCAGCAGCTTCTGCAGAATCCGGTGCAGGACGTCAAAGATTTGTCGTTCATTTGGGTCACTCCCTTTCAGGATCCATTTTGGAAGTCCAAGCCATCGCTCTACATCTCTCACCTGCTAGGCCATGAGGGTGCGGGCTCAGTCATCGCGAAACTGAAGCAGCAAGGGCTGATCTCGGGATGTGGCGTCGGTGATGGAAATTGGCTGGAAGGAGCGTTTAGCTTGCTGAAAGTGAACTTCGATCTTACAGACAAAGGCCTGGACTGTATCCAGGAGATTGGGCAACACCTGTTCGCCTACCTTGGCTTGTTGCAGAAGATGCCTCCCGAGAAGTGGATTTTCGATGAGATGCAGAAACTGGGTGACATGCGCTTTAAGTTCGGGGAGGATGCCTCGCCATTTGCGCTGTGCCCGCAGATTGCATCGACCATGCAGAAGGTGCCAGCATCGGAAGCGCTGTGTGGCGACATGGTGCTCTATGAGTATGACCCCGATGCCATCACGTCCCTGCTCTCCAGGCTCACTTTAGAAAGCGTCCGAGTCCAGGTGCAAGCCAAGAAGTTGGCCGACCGCTGCAAGCAAGTGGATACTTCGTATGGCTCTCCCATGCAGCTACTCCCCATCGAAGATCAGTGGCTGGAATCCTGGCGAGCTGCCCTGAATGCCAGTGGCACCATAGAGGCATCGACAAAGATCACCAGTGAGCTGGGCTTGAGCCTGCCAAAGCCAAATCCTTTCATTCCTGAGGATCTTTCACTGAAGCCTCCGCCGCAAGAGCCGAAAGCCAAACCCAGCCTCCTCAAAGGCACCGAGTCCCTGACTTGCGTCTTTCACAAGCAGGACGACACCTTTAAGCAGCCCAAGGCACGTGTGAGCTTCTCCATCTACTCCCCATTCTTCACGCAAGATCCGACGAATTACACAAAGGCCGAGCTTTGGTGTCGATGCGTGGAGGAGGCTCTGCAAGAGTATGCTTATGATGCAGAGGTTGCTGGAGTCGAGTACTCGCTTGGCTTGGGCGCAGCATGTCTCCGGCTGGTACTGGCAGGCTACAACGACAAGCTGCATGTGCTCCTTGATGCCGTTACTGAGAAGATGGTCTCCTTGGTGGAGATTCCAGAGCAGATCTTCTCCATTGTGGCCAACAGCATGGGCGACGACCTCAGAAACCAGGCATTCCATTCACCTCCTTATGGGCAATGCAGAATGCGACTAGACGAGCTTCTCATGCGCGGGACATCCTTTCCAGCTTACCAGCGCTTGGAGGCCTTCGAGAAAATCACATGCAGCGACTTGAAGGGGCTGGCAGAGCAGTTCTTCGTAGCTGGTGCTCATGTGGAGTCCCTGATGCTGGGCAACCTCACGGCGGAAGACGCGCGACTGTTAGCCTCGAAGCTCATGACGGGACTCAATCTCCGCAAGGCCCTCGCCGTGCTCCCGACTCGTGCGGAGGCTTCACTTCCGGAAGGATCCACTCTCTGGGAGCTCGACAGCACAGACGCCGAAGACCCCAACCATGCTGTTTTCATGAAACTGCAGCTGCCGAGTGGCTTAGAGAACGAGATGTTGACCTACCTCCTAGACAAGGCCATCTCGTCCAAGTTTTTCGATTTGCTTCGCACCCAGCAGCAGCTGGGCTACATTGTGCACATGGCTGCCTCTGTGACAGTCTTGCAACCCTACTTGGTTGCGGTTGTTCAGACAGAGTTCAACCTACACTATGTCAGAGGCTGCTTAGAGAAGTTCCTTGAAGAACATTTTGCTTTTCTGGAAGAGGCCATGACAGATGAGGAGTTTGAGACCTGCAAAGAGGGATTGCTTTCAGAACTACGTGTGAAGCCTAAGAACATCTCTGAAGAGGCACAGCGCTTCAGCCGCGTTTTCATGGACCGCAGCTTCGATTTCGAGCGGCGGGAGAAATGTATCCGCTTCGTAGAAGCATCGACTTTGGCTATGCTACGGAGTTATGTTCGTGATCATGTCAGCAAGGCCCCTCGCATCTACATGCAGGTCAAGAAGGTTCTGGAGAAGGAGGACAAGCCCCTACCTAGCGGAGCCTCGGTGCCTAGTGCGGACAGTTTCAGACGATGGAACACCCACGTCGAAACAGTTTCATCTTTTGCTTCCTCGGCCAAGTGGAACTCGCTCAATAGTTCAGTCGACGTGGCGGCACGGCTATGACACTTGGCACCTCTACGTGCCAAAAGTTTTGGGTTGTCTGACTGATCTGCATGGCCCCGAGCCTGACCATTGTAAAGACCTTCCTTATCATCGCAGGTAGTCTGTCAGGCCATGCCAGGCCTTTCGGACTATGGGTCCGTTGCAGCTCAGATGTCAAATTTGCCTTGCTGTTCACGCTTGCAATTCGGATGTCTTGCGCAGATCAGATGCCTGGCAGGATAAACAAAGCTTTTCGGAGCACGCTTACGCAAGCGGGGGTATCCTGATTATAAGACGGGGTCCTGATAACACGGTGGTTTCATCCCGTCGTCCGGGTGAAAGTAACTACGCAAAACTAGCATGTTTCGCATGACGCGCAAGCGCACGAACACCCTGCGAAGTCGTTCTAGCCCGATTAATGACGTCGTAGGCATTGTGGCACCTTCATAACCGACCGACCTACCTACTTACCCACATGCATGCTTGCATACATAAATGCATAATTGCATGCCTGCAAAGATGCATACATACATACATACATACATACATACATACATACATACATACATACATCTACTTACAATGCATCTATCTATCTATCTATCTATCTATCTATATATCTGCGTCTGCGCGTGTGTGTACATAGTATACTCCGATCGTGCCCTCGCGAGATGCTCTTTGCTGGAAGCACAGTGACTTCCCGATCTCCTCCGTGCAAAGCCTGTTTCGTGCGAGCTGTGCTCTTGTCTTTGCACTCCGATGTCGGCTGAGCTTGGCTTCTGCAGTCGTGCTATCATGCTAGTGGCCGCTCACTGGTCTCTGAGAGTTCGTGGCCCGGTGATTGGTTCAAAGTGTCGCAGAAGCTGCGGCTTTGTAGCTTTGATCAGCTTTGCAGCGGATACCGGCTCGCCATGGCGTGGCGCGTCGCCTCGCCCAGGAGGGCGGCGTCATCCGGCGCAACTGTGGCGACTCGGCTACATCCAGTCAGGGGACGGCATGCTGCGAGCGTGCACTGAACTGCCCGAGGTATCGCGACATGTCTGCTGGGCACCCAATCAAAGCAGCGGGCGGAGGATTTGTGTCACGTTGCGCTCGAAAGCGGGTGTTGAGGTGAACCTGTCCACGTGCCACAGTCTGAGTTTGAAAGTCGCCTCGGCTGGAGGCTGCCTGTGGAGTTTGCTGGGCCCAGGCCGGGTCGAATCATCTACACGACACTGCCCAAGAGGGTGGTCTCGGTGACCCGAAAGGCAGGGTCTGCAAGACGGCTAGACTGCAGGACTTTGCACAATACATCAGTCGATTGTGCCAAGGTAGTCCGCGAGCAGTTCGAGACCGCTCCACGAGCACATGGCGCTGCCGCTCGTTCTGCCGCAGCCTCGACTTAAAAATGTAAAGCCACCGGTGACAGAGCCGAGCTTGCTGTAGCAAACGGCCGAGGTGAGCCGCACGCCGCCGAAGGAGGCGCGCTCGCGCCCGCCATGCCCGCCATGACCTGAGACTCGAGCCTTTGGGATCTGTCTAGCCTGGTGTGAACATCGCCTTTTCCCGTACTCCTGATCTAGGGTTTTATAGTGCCTATCTTCAGGAGTCCATGTCCTTGAATCGCAGGTAGCCTCCGATTGCGACTGGCCGCGCTGCCTTTCCTTCCATGCATGCTTCCCACGCGGCTGTTTGAGACGCAGAGCGCGCGCACGTCGATGGTTGGGTGCGCATTATTTCAAGCAAGAAGGCATGGGAGAATACCAAAAGTACCAAAACAAGTGCATATTCTCACGAGTGAGGTGCGGACAACCGCACAGCAGGAATCACTACTCAGCCAGGCCTCGGCCTCTGCAGCGGGTGGTCCTTTGTGCATCTTTGTGCCAGGGAGTTCTGCCCCCTCCCAGTTAGTCCCAAGTTAGTCCCAGTTCCCTGGAAAATCATTCGCGCAAGGTTTCGGAGCTGCTCTGCCATGTATCCTGTGGTCTCATGGACCCCTGTGATTGTATATAGGCAGGTCTGCTTGATGGCTTGTCCGATTCAGCCGCACAAATGCCTTTGAAACTCATTGATCCTTCAACTGATTCCCAAGCCAGCTGCAAGCTGCCATGTATGCCGAGGAAACGAAATCACCAGTTTGCGGTGCCTGCCCTCTTCAGAAACCCATTTCATTGAATCGCAGGTGGACTCCGGTTGCGATTCCGAATGCACGCGCTGCCTTTTCTTCATGCTTCCATACAGCCGTTTACGAGTAGAGCACACGCGCGTCGGTGGTAGGGTGCACATTTCAGGCACGACTGCCGAGAGCGGGCGTGAGAATGCTACCCAGAGCGAGGTGGGCATGCTTCATAACGAATTCGCACATTTGCATGCTTGGTCCAGGTGGCAGCAGTGGCCCAGAGCGGAGCGTGGGAATGCTACCCAGAGCGAGGTGGGCGACCTTCAACGAATCCGGGTATTTGCATATATGCATATTTGGTCCAGGTGGTGGTAGTGGCCCAGAGCAGGCGCGAGAATGCTCCTCAGAGCGAGGTGGGGGGGGGGGGGGTGCAATTTCTGCATCGGGCTTTTCGTTCCGCATGGCAGAGCCATTTTTCGAAATCACGTCATGGAGGGCAACACGCCGAGGAAGCAGGTATTTAAAGTAATAGATTCTTTTACTCGCTTTGCCTACACCCTGGCTTTGGATGATTTTATTCGTGTCTTTGTCTCAAGGAGCCAAGCAGCAAAAGCAGCTTTCATTTGACGGACAGTGGTGTGTGGCTTTCAAACGAAAGCATGCATTGGTTGCTGGCCTGCGCCTAGATTCGCCTGAGTAGGGCCCCAGCATGAGATTTTATTTGGCATTCCCGACTCCCGTTGCAATAGGCAATAGTGTTTGCAAGAGAGGCGGTGCATGCTCTGTTGTGGAGACCTGCATACGGCATACTCTTGGTTCTGCATTGGGATTTCGATGAAACGGCCGCTTATGCGAAGATCCAGGACTTCGGTTTCATAACAGTTGCTCAAAGATGATCAAAAATCAAAAACGCAGAAGGGCTGCTAGTGATTGATGTGACGAAGGTCTCAACAAACTTCTTCTGTATGAACATGAAACTTGCAAAGCAAAACTCGAAGTTTTGCACCGTAAAGGTGTTTAACAATTTTGATTGCGATTTTGTTGGTCTCTCTGTCGCACCTGTTCCTGCGACTTAAGGCATGTCACCATGTCATTCCTCATGGGTATGAAGTTTACATTTGCAGACCGCGCTGCCTGTTTTTGCTGTGTAGTTCCTCTGTTCGTTGCGGTCGGCAATATCGGATGCCGAAAAGGAACAGCTCTGCAAAAAGCAGCGGATCTTGCGCGTCAAGGAGCATCGTGTAGGATGCGGTTTCCGGATTTTGGGGACCCAATTTGCCAAGCCGCAGGAGGTCCTGGTGGCGTACAACGAAATGCACCACAGCAGGCCGACCTTTGCGGCTTGGCTGGTTTGTAATTAAAACTTCCGACAGCTCTCCTTACATCCTCCTAGTGTGATGTAGCTTGGCTGAGACACAATTGATCAACTTCGCGGGCAGCATCGAGAAGAAGCTGACCTGGAAATGGATGAGAGAAGTGCAAGCAGACTTACTCGATTGAATCCCTGTTCTTGCTTTGCCTGGAAGCGTTCTTGACTAAGGTACCTCCTACAAGATCATTTGTGGTGATCGCCTGCTGCAGGGCAACGAGCGCGTCTCAACCCTGCAGCAGGGCATCACGTTGATCAGGCTGCCGCAGTCCAGGGCCCAAGTCAAGGGCCTCGGATTGCAAGTTGCGGCGACTCCAGGATCTCCGCCACGAACGCGTCCAGCCACAGCGAGGAGGACCTGGAAGGGCTGGTTCAGGAGGCTGGCATCTCACCAAGCGAGTCGCAGCAGCCGGCACCAAGTCTGAAGCCAGATCAACCAGCTACTCGACAACCCATAGCCGGACGCGCCACACGCTCAGCACGCAGCAGCCAAGCGAAACCGCCGAAGCTCGTAGCAACCAACACTCACAGTAGCCATAATTCGAGCTGCCACTCACCCACCGAGGTTCGCGGCCACAACCCCTCAAAGAGATGGTGGGGAGGACCAGCTGCTGGCGAAGCGCGGTCCGCACCCGGAAAAAAGAGGGAGAGTGGTCAGGGCGAGCCGCAATGGTTAAGCACGCATGAAAAGCGTCACGCTAAAACTAGGCCAAGTAAGAGCCAGAACCCAGGGTTCCAGGACAGTCTAAGTTCGTTAACATGGTAGTCGGTAGCGTTCAAAAAACCCCTGGGAGGGGAACAGCTTCAGTGCCTTTCCAAGGAAAGGTCGAGTTGTCAAAGCAACTCGCAAGTCTGGAGCCAAGCCCTTTAAGCTCTGAGCATCAGGGGAAAAACAGCAAAAGAAAGAAAAAAAGGAAAAGAGTAAAGGAAAGAAGAAGCTGGCATCTGCCCGTACGACAAATGAGAAGCATCTCCAAAGCAAAAAGACTTCAAGCTTGAAGCAGGAGCGTCAGCCCCAAAAGCGAGAACTTTAAGGATTCCGGAGAAGGAACCTAGCCGAGCCAACACAACATGTGAAGTGTTGCTAAGAAGCGACGGGTTCAGACGAGAAAGCGAGAGCCCCAAAACCGAGAAGCTCAAGGATTCCGAGGAAGAAGTTCAGCTTTGCGGGCACTGCTGTGCCCGCGTCTGCATTGCAAGACCTCGCATCAGCCCAGAAAAAAAAACAGACCGGCAAAGCCATGCATCGGCAAGTCGCACCGACCAAAATCAAGAAGGTCACGCGAAAAAGAAAAACCACCTCGCTTTCCCGTGCCTGTTGCACAACCTTTGGTCTTTACCCCCACAAAACAATTCACTCCGATGGTAGACGGCACGGGCTTCGAGCACTACCATCAAAACAAACGGGTAGGACTGGTTCTGCAATAGTGAGGGCTAGGTGTAGGCAGAGAACTCCATGTACGTCCGTTTGTAGCCTGCCGGTTCCAGCGAAACTGTTCATGCAGCAATACCTTCACATGAACACGAGGCTCTGCACAGACACGGACACTACCAAACATGATGCGAGACATGTCACTCAGATGCAGAACGACACCAGGAATGTCTGTAAGTAATGACTACCTAAAACCAGCTTAACCGCTCTCCAGAAGTCGAGCCAGAGTCTAGCTGCAAGCCTCTCACGCCGAAGCATCTAGATGGCGCCACCCTTAGCTTAGATCAGCAGCCAGCATGTGCCGTCTAAAGCCTGTAAGCAAACAGCCCGCCGAGATCGTGGAGAACAGGAAGCGCGATTCCCAGGAAACGGTGGCGACGTTAGCACTCCAACATCCAGCAGCCTAAGACCCACTTGGCAGGCGCACCAAGAAGGTCAAGATCTACTTGGGCCTGAACGGCGACTGCGTGGAGGTTGAGGCTGAGCCCAGGCCGTTCTGCTGTCACCAACGTCGTCGCACATGAGCCAGGTGGGCCCCACCGAGACGGTGGGCACCATGGTCGGGGACCTCGGTTCTCTGCAGCTGTCGCCTTTGGGCTTCGCGAAAATTTGTTGCCAAGGTGATACTACAATTTCCAGTCGGGCAAAGATGGCCCTGACTTTTTTCTTCCAGGCTGGGTCGAATGGCAAGCGTGAATTCGACCTTGGAATTCTGTTTGTCAGGCCTTTGAATGCTATTCATATGCTTCTATACTTTTGAAGGCCCGAGGCAAGCGCTCTTGAGAAAGAATACAAAAAATAATTATACTTTTCGATACGTTGACATAGAAAAAATTTTCTGACATTCGATATTTTCTGAACTATCTAAATAGATAAATTGTGATAGCGTAAATAGATATGCGAAAATTATAAAATTATATATTTGTTGGATTCTTTGAGTTGGTATTATTATATTAAAGCTACTTTGTTATGATATTATATGCTCGAGCGAAAACTATAGGAATTATGAAGTGTGTTCGGTATTTCGTGATTCGGGGGGGCGTCTGGGAATATTTTTATTTTGGAAGGTTTCTGAATGTTCTTTCTTTTTCGTCGTTATTTTTAATTTGAAAAATGGTAGAATATTTAAGAAAAATATATAAGGAGGGAGAGGGAGAGGTAAGATATATAGAAAGTATAATTTTCGGAATATTAGAGTAGTTGAGTAATAAATATATTTATCGATTACAGGATTATTTTTATAAGAAAAATATATCTACGGTTTCGGGGGATCTTAACACTTTATTTGGAAAGATTATTTTTATTTTTTGGTATTGGATAATGAGTTTAGTGTATTAGATTCGTATTAATTCGGCTCTAATAAAAATTAAATACAATTTTTCTTAAAGATTTTTGGTTTTTTTAATATAAATTAAAATCTCGGAATAATGGTTTCATATTTTTGCGAGATAGTATATTTTTCGCGGAAGGTTGGTGTTGTGTATAGAATGTAATAGCTCCAACATTTTGTGACATATTTTGAATTTAAGAAGCGTGTGGAGGCTCGAGCCCGGTAGTGAGGTAAATTATTAGTGCGTTAAGGGTCTAACGATATTAATAATAATAATGATAATTCGTCCATTAAGAATAATTGAAAGATCTGGATATTAACAACTTTGGAAATTTATATAAAATCTTAAATTCTTGAGTTTTGAATTTATTCTATTGTATTTGTGGGCCAGGTTTCATATTGCCATAGGAAGCGAGATTTAATTATAATTATTTTAATATTAATCTCGAGAGCAAATATTTTGATATTAATTCATATAATGAATAAATCTAAAATATTTATCTTTCTAACCAATTATGGATAGAGTAATGATATTAAAATATCGATTTAAATAGATATAATATATTGCGTATTTCTAAATATAAATATGAATATATTTATATATTTTTTTTCGTATTTTTACGAATGAATTATATTTTTTGGTATTTGTCATGATGATTCGAATTATATAGTCGTATTTAGATATGAAATTAATGAATTCGATTAATGATATAATATATTAATTCTTCGGAATAATTTTCATCGAGA